TCCGACAGAATTGAACGTGAGCTCGGTGAGTTAGATGATAACAACCGAGCGATTGCAAGTGTAACTCGGCAGTCAGACCAAGCTGTGCATCGTACTAGGATAATGAAGCTGCTTCCGGGAGAACGGCTGGGATGGTGGTCAGCACAGACGTTTGATCGTCGAGTTAGAATGAGAGCCCTCGTATTGGGTGCAGTGAACGACCAATGAGAGAGATCACGTGTTGCGCATGCTCGCTACCCGGTGCCCCATACAAAGGCAGCAGTGCCATTCTCGCTGCTGGGAACTCTCATGGAGCCATCAGTCTTCTCAAGTATCCGAGCTTTGTACAAGGAGCGGGAGCCAAGACGTACCGTGGACACAGTGGTGCTGTGGCTCAATTAGGCTTCTCAGGAGCTGGCGGATCGCTCTGCGTTAGTATCGGTCGCTCTGACCGGTGCTTGCTTCAATGGAGACGGCTGTATGGCGCCGGTAGTGGCTCTGATACAGCAGTAAATGGTAACGTGGGCATAGCGAAAGATCCTGAAGAGGACCCTGATCTGGAAGCTGAAGGACGGTTCCTGCCTGAAGCGTTCGTCAACGTTGGTGGAGGCGCTCCGAGCGAGGTGACGCCGTTCGTGAGCGCAATATTACCACCGTCAGGTGTCGTGCAGGAGCCGAGCGAGGCCGACGGAGTGGTTAAACATCGAGTGTTCGACTTGGAGCATGGTTTTGGCTTGCGTACACATGACGCCCGACAAAACGTCGTGTACGCTCGACCGAAGCGGATCGTGTACCCGACTGGGTGCGTCGGCGTGAGTTATGATCGACGTAGCTAGAAAAACCACTGCGAGAATCGATCTCTCTGTTCAACGTCTTGAGCTGTCAGACACTTCAGCCCATAAGACGCGAACTACCCACGTTCCAGCAACGACGAGCACGAAGCAAATTAGAAATTTCAAATCTATAATCACACCGCCGAGTAACACACTGCCACTTCCTCGATGCGCGAAGCTGTACTGGTATTTCGTAGTCACCCACGCTCGACTTAAATTAGAAGGAAGTACCATCATTCTAAGAATTTTAGACGATCTAAACGATGTCGAGCGATACTGCGCGATCAACGTGATACTTGAAAATGCGCTTAGTAAAAATTCCGGGACGCCAATAATACCGCTGTTCGATTGGTTACTGCGTGCTAGCCAACGTGAGGTTGTTACAGTCACCACCATGTGCCAAAGCAACGCGTATATCCACACGTTACGCATCTGAACAACAGCATAGGAGATGAACGCTTCGAGATGGATGTCCAACACGCCACCTTGAGAGAAAAAATTGCTTTCTAGCACGTCGTACGTAAAAGGAGCGTCCAGTAAATGAGCCAAAACATAGCACGACACGGGGAACGGACTACCGAACACTACGCATTGCGTTGGGACCTTCATAAATAGATGGCGAGCTTTGCGCATTCGAGTCCAGGTGGGTATTTTCTTCTGAGATTTGGTAACACCGTGAACAAAGTAGCAGCTTAGCATCAATCCGAGACCACGTAACAAGAAGTAGCCTTGCCCGATGCTTCTCAGAGCTGCCACTACTTTATACCACTGCACAACGTCCGAAGATAATAATCCGGTTTCGTATCGATAATCTTCGACGAAAACTGTTTCGCAAGAGCGGGTTGCCAACACAGTTTCGAGCACGTACGATGGCACTCACATCCGAGCGTTTAAACCCGAGGGACGTGAGTCCTCCTCGACATATTTGCATGTCTTCTTGACTTTCTAAAAGTGTTAAATCCAATGTTGCGTTCGGAAAGCGACGCTGGACGTCACGAACACGTGTCATGGTGTGTACGTGCAGCAACCCAACACTTCTGCCTTTGGCGTCATCAGGAGCACAAGATCCATCAAAATTTGTCCAGAGCTCATGACAAAAACGCGGCATTCGGATCCTGTTCCCAATAATCGGGAAACAAATAGTACGAGCATTTGTCGTTGCAAGTAGCTCTGGAGAATAATACAATGCCTGGTTGGTGCGCCAGTTAATGTTGATAAACCATGTCGGCAATATAAACTGGTGAAGTCGATCGACATACTCGTTTTCTGAGCGTAACGTCAGTCCCACCGGTCCGGATTGGAGTCCGAAATCTCTGTTTAGCCTTGATATGACGTGAGAGTCAATCATCCGGAATGCCACCTCGCCGCTAAAACTCTGTGTGGGGCATTGACTAGTGTACAAGAAACAATCCGGAAAGTCTGGAGCTGACAAGAAACGTGCAAATGCTCGCCACGTGATCGAAGTCGAGTCGTACTTGTAGCTCCATACACGTGCTGTTGTGCTGCCTTTTCTGGCTTCTTCTACGGTAGACGCAAACACTAAATAGTCCCACGATGTATCAAAACTTACCACTTCGTCTGGCTGCAGTGATGGGTACACATCTTGAAGATTCGACACGCCCACACCGGAGCGTAAGACGTCGGAGAAAACGAGAGCTAGCGACACAGCTCCGATGAAGAACCGCAGCCACGAGAACGGGAGATGGCGCTCGAACACTTTGTCACGCGCAGCGAGTTGTCGGGCATGAGTCTTCTCAATCAGAGCAGCTGGAGTGATCACCTTCTTCCAGCTCAACGAGTGCTTCTCTGCATGACGTGAAGCCCACTTGGATAAAGCCATCAGCGCGCGAGTACCATCTCCACGAGTCGGAGTTACCCGAACGGGGGCCATCACGAGACTGAATATTAAAATAAAACATGCACAAAAGAGTCTACTTGGACACTTTGATAAT